GTGGGTGCGCTGGGGGGGGGGGACCTTTGTGCATCGGCTACCTGGAGAGCTGCCCCCACTGGTGGTGCTGAGGCTGTCGTCCACGTCCAGCCAGGTGCTGTAGACGAAGGAGTCACGTTTGTGCGGCGTCCCCGATGAGGACTGGCTCTCCTGGACACACACAAAGGAAAGGACGGCATGTGTGCTGGAGGGGGGGGGGTCTACGGTCCCCTGGAAGCTGTGGACGATCGGCCTCCTCCCACCCTCCCCCAATGCGACCAACAGGGCAGGTTGATGGCTGCCTCCCCCCCCCACACAGCCACGGTTCCCAGCCAGCCCTCCCTCCGGGGCGGGGCCCTCTCGCTGGAGCATGCTGGCTTCTCAGTCTGCCCCCGGCCCCCAGCTCACCCCGCCCATCCCCCTGCATTCTGTGGACCGGCTTGTCACCTGGCAGGCAGGCATCAGCTGATGTGGACTTAATACTGCAAACTATTATTAATCATGCTGTGATTTATGCTTCCTACATTTTTGAAAATATGACTGCCAAGAAAACCATCCACTCCCCTTCCCAGTGTCATCCAAGGCACTCATCGCTCTCCCCCATGTGAAGGTCCTGCTAGAGACAAAATGTTTCAGTCGTCACATTCTCATCTGGTCCTTCATAATAGCCTCACAACAACCCTGTGAGGCAGGCCAGGCGGGGGCTCAAAGCTACTGAGTGAATTTTATGGCCAATGGAAATCTCCGTCTGGGGTTTTCCCACCAGATCAGTCCCCTAACCCACATAACCTCTGACCCCCACCGTGCCCAGTGACTCTTGAAACCTGGCATGGTGTTGACATTCAGTTTTGAAGAATATCTAGAAAGTGTCCTACGCGTTAAGACTTATTGATAAGGCTATTTAAGTCAATAACAAATTGCCAAATTGCCAAAAATTTCCTTAAACTCCTAAATCCATCACCATTTGTAGCTTTGAGAAACAAAGAGAGAGGACCGGCTTGGAACAGCCCCGTCCTCCGTGACCCCCTTGGGGGCAGGGGACCCCGTCTCTCCCAGCCCTCTGAGCCACTGACCACGCCGGCGTCATCTTCCTGGGCGCCTTCGTGTTCTTCCACCACGCTGCCGAAACTGCTGGCACTGGACGAGGAGCGTGAGAAGTCCCGCGGGGCCTCCGGCTTGTGAGCTACGGGGTCCGGCCTGCTGGGGAGACGGGCCCATGAGAACCAAAGCCAAGGCCAGCCACGTCCAGAAGGGGGCTGGGATGGACACGGGGCAGGGGTGCTGCCGAGGTCTGACCTGTCCTTGGTGGTGGGCATCTCAGGAGAGCTTTGGTTGGACGAGTCCTCGGACTTCGGGTCCTGGGACACGTGGCCACTGTCCGGGGTTTCCTGAGTACCAGTCGGGCTTTCCCTGTGGGGCACGCATGCATACAGGTCGGTCCATCACTCGAGTCAGGCTGGGAGGGGGTGAGGCTGGACGTCCCCCGCTGAGTGGGTGGGAGGAGGCCCCAGGAGGAGGGAAGGCTCTCCAGTGTTCCCTCTAAGCCTCCGGCTCACACGTTTTTGTCCTATCTCAGCAAGGATGGGGCTCCGGAGCAAACTGATTTTATGCAGCAGCCACATCGCTCACTCACAGCTTTAAGGCCAGCAGCTCACAAAGTAGAATTCTTGCTCACAAGACTCCACAGCTGAGAGGGAGCTTTGGCTCTCACCCCCCCACACTTGCTTCCCCCCCCCCCGACCCCCCCTTTTTCCCTCCCCTCTTTGCGTTTT